TTCCGATGTTTCTCCGCACCTCTGCACCACGCCATCCCAGGCTCCGCTGCCGCCATTGATGTTTTCGCCACACGCTACTGCGACCACCGCACACCTCGTTATGTGCCCCTTTAGCCATCTTTTTATGGAATGAAAAGACCCAGACTCTTCAGTCCTTCCTCAGAGGAAAGGTGTTCCTGCAACACTTTAATCATCTTTTGTTGTGATGTCTCCTCACAATTCTGAACCAAAGTAACTTAACTATAATTTATAGGGCCTTTAGAAAGGCAACCTAGAATCTCGATGCCTCATTCATGGATATCTCTTGGGGGATTTCCTATAGAAAGCATCGAAAAGAAGATGTGCATCAGGAAAGGCTGATTTAAACTGCAAAAAGTGACCAGGATCTAAAACAGTACATGTACCAGAAATTGTGCATAGCTGAAGCATTACTTTCTCTTTTCTCTATATTTGTTCTCATGGTTGAGCATACAAGCTCTTTTCTGCAGTTATGATATTAACTTACTCATTCATCTGTAGGCATAAGTACCTGCGAATCTTCTTCAGCAACACATGAAGTTCATTCTCATCCATTTAACTGGAAGGCCCTAAACAGACCTCTTTCTGCCTCTTATGCTTTGGAACAATGAAGACGCCTCGCGCACTCTACAATCAGACGCGCGAGCGACCCCTGCAGGTATCTGATTGGCTAATTGCGAAAGAGCCGTACACTTAATCCCACATCTTTTCCTCGTTAGCGGCTCCTTTTCATCCGGGATATTAGCGGTGAGGGCAGAAACGCGTTCCGGGAGGGCTCGCTGATTGGCCGATTTTCCAAAGGGCGGACCGCTCAACTCTCTTTGCAGCCAGTTTAATTTTAAGCCGTTTAAGCAGCACCTCGTGATACTCTGATTGGTTCAGTGTACCAGTGTAGGCGTGCCTATTCGTCGTTACCTCGAAGGCCCTGCGCGGGGGGGATGTTCTGCGCATGAGTTCTGTAGTTCGAGGTCGGTTGATGGAACGTTAGCGACTGTTGGTAGGACGCAGAGAAGTAGGGGGCGGTGCGCGTTGTACTCCTAAGTAGTCCGTGGTGGCGCCCAATGAGGGCAAGAAGGAAAGGGAGGAAGAATCTGTGGAGAAGCGCGTAGAGAGAAACGGGGGGCGGGGGAAGCCAACTAATGAAGGGAAAGTTAGACTGGGGAGCAGCAGCCTATGGCGAGGAGGCAGGCGTTGCACTGGGGAGTTGGTCAGAGGAGTCGAGACTGCCTAGGCTTGTCAATTTCGTTTCTTGTCGGGGCATTCCCAGCAGCGTGAAAGGCAGATGTTGACCAAAGGATGTTTTTCCCACGGCTGCAGCAGCATCCCGGGAGCAGATCAGAAGTTTCGTCTGCCAAGTAGCCCTTAAAGGGGTGGGGGGAGCTGCTAACCATGATATTGACTAGTGATGAACTAGGGTCACTGCTGAGTGTCCAATGAGAAAAGAAAAAAGTTTGAGTCCTGTGGCACCTTTAAAACGAAAGGACTCTAAGGTATAAAGGTTGTTTTCAGCTGGTAGCCTGGTAGAACAGGTCTAGTAGGATCTTGGAGACCAGCAGCATTTTGGGGTATAAGCTTTCTAGCGTCAAAAGCTCTCTTTTGTTGGATACAGTATAAAGAGTGATCTGTGGAAGGCTAGATATACACTGCTTGTTTAATAATAAGGGAGAATTCAAAGAATGAATTAACACTATGTGGACATTTCTGCACTTTCTGTTGGAAAGGCCTTCCAGGCTTTGCCTATGTGGAAATTTGAAGATCCATTAAAGTACTCAGCTTTTGGCTGGTGCCCAAAATGGGACAGCCACTATGGAATAAATGAGGCTCTCAGCTTGACAAATCACAGTGGGTTCTCGAACAATGTGATTCCATGAAGTAACCAAAAACCATTTCTCAAGTCTTCTTTCATATGTTTGTGGTTTTATGACCTGAATTCTGTTGTATTATTGAATACCCCATCTTATTGATTGTGTTGACTCTGTGTAATCCGCCTTGAGTCCAAGTGAGAAAGGCGGACTATAAATGATGTAAATAAATAAAATAAATAGGCTGCTGAATTGCTCTGCAATGTAACACCATTATTTTTACAATGACCTGGGCCTTGTATTTCAAGACAAAGTGATTCAAACTTGAATGTATACAGCTCACTGATATGATGTTTTCTATATATTTCTCAGAACTGGGACTTGGAACCATGGACGGAAGAAAAGATTTGGACAGGCAGCTGGACCCTCCTGCCATCTTCAGAGCTCCAAGGCCCAGGGGTAAAAGAGCAAGTTTGTTATCTTGTTCCCACCTGTAGGGATTTGCCCTACTTGGAGAGCTTAAGGGTATATTGCATAAATATGAAGATAAACCCTTGTTCTCCAGGGCTGTCAGCGTGGAATTCCTCAGCCATGAAGTGCTAGCAAAACTAGCAAAATTGTCAGTTACTTCTACTGGGAATAGTCCTTTCATTTATCATATTTGAATTTTATACAGTTGCATCCTACTGCATTTTATGGCCCGTTGAGCCTGCTGTTTATATTTTTTCTTTTCATAATGTCATTCTCGTGTGTGTGTGCGCGCACACACACGTGTCTGGCCTACACATGTGTCTGGCCTAGCCAGGACCCATTTCATATACTTGACGAAGTGAGCGCTTATCCACGAACGCTGATTCTGGAATAAAATCTTCCTAGTCTTTAAAGTGCCACAAGATTCCTTTTTTTTTTTTACAGCAATGCGCTGACACAGCTAGCCCTCTGGAATGGTTGCTGGGTATGGGTTATAAAGAACTGACCTGGATTTGTTCACTTCTTAATAGGTAAAGGTTCCCTTGCTCGAAAGCCAGTCGAATCCGACTCTAGGGTTGCGGTGCTCATCTCCGTTTCAAAGCCGAAGAGCCAGCGCTGTCCGAAGACGTTTCCGTGGTCATGTGGCCGGCATGACTAAACACCAAGGCGCACGGAACGCTGTTACCTTCCCACCGAAGTGGTCCCTATTTATCTGCTTGCAATTTCTTGCTTTCGAACTGCTAGGTTGGCAGGAGCTGGAACTAGAGGAGTGTATTATTGGTTCTATATTGGCCCCAGTTTTGTCTTGTTTCCTTGGCTGTGTGATTACTGGGAGGTCTGTTTTGTTTGGATTTGGCAAATTTTCTAATATCAGCTTTGCATCCGTCTTCTGAAAAATGCTGTCACGGGGAGAGGTGGGTCTGTTTATTAAACTCTCTAAAGTAGACAAGGCACCTTGTGGAGATTTCAGGCTTACTGTTTATGAAAAGACATGACAAGGAAAGAAGGCAAGAACAGAAGTTGTTTGCTGGGAGGGGGAGGAACGTTCTGGGCCCAAGGTGGATTGTGATGAAGTGGAAGTGATATCTTTCAGTAGCCTCTCACTCCCTCTGGTGGTCACAGCAATGGCATTTGGTAGGCAGGGAAGGGGGTAAGGTGGGAAAGCTGATATTTGCTACAAATGGGACAACACTCCAAGGAGAGGTTCACATAAAATGTTGTAGACGGAGGTCTCCTAAAACCCAAGGAGGGCATTAGTTTAGGCCAACCATGTCTGTTTTCCTTCACTAGCTGCATGCACACAGTTTATATGGGGACAATGTGTGTGAGGAAGTGAGAGAGAGAACACTGGTCCAGCCCTCCCCGCTGATGTGTGGTGTTATTGATACAAACTGTTTTCTGTTTCCCTGTGGACTCTGACCCCATGATTAGGAATAGTGCTTTTTTGAACCTCCTGATCATGGGGATGCAGTTTCCACACGTTCAGCTTGCATGTGCACAGGCACTGCTCACACTCAGGCATGGGTGGGGAAGGTGTGCTGCCCCTGCTTCTCCTCCTACTTGTGTGTGTGTGTGGCTTGCACTTTCATATGTTGTGTACTGGACTGTATGTACTGGTTGTATGACTGGACTGTAAAGCAGGACTGCCAGTTTTTCAAGCAACCTCAATAGCTGTGTGGTTTTTTTTTTCCGGTGAGAGAGCAGTGATTGCTTTTGTGCTTTAACTGCTGCTCTCTGCAGATCAAACTGATCTCAGAGGTACTAGAGAGTCTGTATGAAGCTACGGTTAGCATTTCGGACTAGGATATCCAAAGTTAAATCCCCACTCTGCCATGATGTTTGCCAAGTGACTTTGGGCTGATCCCTTTCTCTCTCTCAGCCTAACCAATCTCACAGGGTTGCTATCAGGGTGAGATAAGGAAGAGGGGCCCCTGTATCCTCCTCTGAACTCCATAGAGAAGGATGGGATAAAAAAGGGTGCCCCAGAGAGCCTTGGCTCTACTGGTCAAGATCTGCTGGTTGTCCCCAGCCCAAGGGACATCTGCTTGTCCTCAACCAGGGCCAGGGTAATTTCTGCCCTTGCCCCAGCCTGGTGGGACATGCTCCCATCTGAAAACAGGGCCTTAACTACAGTTCCACAGGGCCTGTAAAATGGAGCTGTTCCACCAGGCCTTTGACTGAGACAGTGGGTGTCCAATGAAAAACTTGGCCTCCCCTTCTGACATTGAAGCCTACCACCTCGACGCGGCCCAGATCAATAAGATCTTCAGAGACCCAATGGTGCCAGCTTGAAAATAATGTATAGAGTGGCCTGTTTTTGTGGGTTGTTTTTTTTTTTAAATCTATGCCATTTAAATTTTTTTAATTATTCTGTAAAATTCTATTTGTCTTTATTTTATTTTTTTATTAGATTTTACCCCGCCGTCCCAGCAGAGCTGGCTCAGGGCGGTTTAGAATCTTACTGTGATGCTCCCTGAGTCCGCTTGCAGGGAGGGTAGAAGATAAATTGAATAAATAAATTAAATTGAGGATAAATTAAATAATAATTGAAGATAAATTGAAGATAAATTAAATAATAATTAAAAACTTACTAGGTAAATACCGTAGGCCAGGCTGGCTTTTTTCTACTTGATATTTTAACAGAAGATGATGGCGTCCCCAAGAATTGGGTATTTTTTCCTTACTTATATATGTTTACAGATAAATGATGCTTTAAACAATCTATTTTTTCCACCGCCCTACTCTATGGGGTTAAATTTGAAAATATTGGTCATTTTATCTGCATAAACACACCTTCAGCCGTTGTTTTTGGCACCATGCTCTCAGCTGCAGTCTCTGATTTGCTGTTCAGTCGATTTTCATATCCCATAAAACTGACCAGTCTTCTACAACAGTCATTGTTGACTGCTGTCAAAGCAGTGTTGGACTTCATCTTTCTCATTGCGATGTTTGGATTCCAGTTCTTTCCTGTTCTTTGCATTTGCAGACTTTATTTGGCCACAGTCAACAGGTAGTAGTGTGGATCCCACTTATCTGTAACAGCGGCATTCTCGTCTTCCATTTGGAAGAAACCACTCAAAGCAGAAATGAATAGTGACCGTACAGATAAGTGGCCTTCACGTGGTCATTCCAGTTCTCCATGTTTCCTGTGGTTCAGTGCCATACCGTGTCTCTTGTTATTTGTTTCTGCTTCTACCCTAGGTCCCAAAGGACTGATCCCACCATCACATTTCCAGAGCCGGTCAGCACCTCCCCTAACGGCTCCCGTTGCAGGGCCTTGGAATGCTACTGCTTTACCTAATTGGGAGGCAGCTGAACTCAGACGAGAAAATCAGCGATTAAAGGACGAACTTCGTAGATGGGCCCCGACAGGAGATACGGTCAGCGGGGGCAGAGTGCCAGACAAAACCGAAGAAGCTGGAGCCAGAACCAGGTGAAGGGCCCTGTATCTCATTCACTGTTCCCTGATCCAGTTGACCCTGAACTAGAGAGTGGCATAGATTTTTTTTAAAAAGCTATAATTCAGTGAACCCGCACTTCTGGTTCTTGGGTAGAAGCTGCCATTGACAAAGAGCAGTGTAGCAAGGGAGAGCTGTTCGATCTCTGCATCTCAGTGGCCATCTACATCCCAAATGTCCAAGAATTTCCCAGCCCAGAGTTGGCCTCCCCTTTTTTGTCTCTGTTACTGGTGATCACCCTGTAAATGCTGGAGTCTTTGCTGAACTTCGCTTCACTGATGTGTGATTCTTCAGTCAGTGGCCCTTTGAGGGGGATCTACGCTGAAATCCAATCCCTGTACTCTCAACTAGTTGGTTCTAGATAGGTGCCCCCTGGGGGAGGGAGAAATTATCATATGGCAGTTGTGTGTGGAATAGCCAGGAGATCCCCGGGAGGAGACTTTGGCTGTCAAAGCTGTAGCTCTTTTTTGGCACCACGTAAGTGGCCAGCTATGCTTATTTTTAGGCTGAGAGTGCTGTGACTTGCCTAGGGTCACTCAGCTAGTTTCAAGTGGGGAATCGAAGCCGGTTCCCCAGATTAGAGTCCGTTCCTCTTAACCACTGCACCAAACTTGCTCTCTGAGGGGGAGAGGACTTTGTGACATGCTTTTCTTCCCTACCACACAGGTCCCTGGACAGAGAAGCTGAGCCCTCAAGTGTGCGTCACACATTGGCCATGTCCCAACAGGCTGAGATTATTTCACACCAGCTTCACGAGATCCAGAGGCTAGAGGCTGAGCTTGCTTCCCTGCGAGTTGCAACTGCCCAGCATGAGGCAACAGCAGCCAGTCGAGAAAATACCCTATCCCACCTTCACGGGGAGCTGACAGAGCTCAGAAGGCAAAGCCAGCTAGAATCCGCTGCCTTGAAGGCAGAGCTGGAGGAAGTCAGAGGGAGCAGCAGACTGAAGCTTGAGGCCCTGAAGGAAGAACTAGAGCAGCTGAGGAGCCAGGCTGGCTTAGAAGCAGATGGCTTGAGAGAGGAACTCAAGTCGGCCAAGGAAAGATACGTTCATGAAATTGGATTGGCACGGGTCGAGTTGCAGGGGGCACTTGAAGAGGCAAAAGCTGAGCGGAAAAGGCAGGAGGAGAGAGCCCAAGGCTGCCTACAGGCTGTGCTCAAGGAGCACCAGGCTGAGGTAAGTGCTGAAAGAAGAGCAATCTGGGAAATGAGATTCTTCAGGAAGGTGCCAATTCCAAATGAAAATGCCTCACGCTAGGGCTTGTATGGTTCATTATGTGGGAACTGGGAGGCTGAGTCTCAAGATTCTTTAGTCTCTTCCTTCTCACAGTTGTCTAGACTTTCTGAAGGTCACAAAGTGGAAGTTTCTTCCTTGAAACATCAAATGCAAGCACTCCAGAAGGATCTGGAAGCGCAGCAGAAGGAAGCTGCCCAACTCCGAGAGGAAAGAGATGTTGTCCAGAATCAGCTCAGGTATGATCCATTCCTCTGGACTCCTCCTTCACCCTCCATCCAGGGCACCATCAGGGTTTCTCCCCAGGTTGTCCCAAAGACAGCCTCATATTTCTCTCCTGTAGTGTGGTCAAGGCAGAGCTGGCTTCCCAGAATGCTTTGCTGATGCAGCTGAAGACCTATGTTGGGGAGCAGGAGTTAAGGAAGCCCAGTCCGGAGCGGGAGCAGCTGATCAGTAGAGTTCAGGTGAGTTCTCAAACAGGATGCCTGTGCACTCCAGATGGCAGAGGTCCTCTTCAGTGACGCCCTTTCTCTCCTGCCTCAGCACCTGGAAGAGGAAAAGGAGGCCCTGAAAGCAACAGCTGAGCTCCTGCAGATTCGTCTGGCATCACTCAGTGATATCCTGACTCTACAGGAGACAGAGCTTGCCAGGAAGGTAATAATATTTGGGCACACTGGAAGGCGCAGTTTCTTTCTACACAAATTAGCGGACGGTAGTTAATGTGATCGGTCACAAAGGGTAGGTGGAAATCTTGCAAAAAAGATACCTTCCTTTGGGTCAAACTACATGGTAGGTCTGTGACTAGAAAATAGGGCCTTGAAAGTGTGGTGGGGGTGAAGATAGGCGTTGGGGAAAGGAGGGGTTTATTTATCCCATCAACTCTCGCCTTGATCAAATGCCCCATTTTAAGTGTCAGTAGAGAAAACAAGTACAATATGGGTATGTGTCTCTTTTCCATACCAGGGAATGGGGGGGAAACTTGGGGAGGAGTCAGAGCTAAATAACCATCAAGAGTTCCAATCACAGAACCCCAGTATTGTGTGTGTTAGCCCTAGCCCTTAGTAGGTTTTAAGTTACAAATCTTATGTGGGTCTATCCAAAATAAATCCTATTCAGTTCAGTAGTATTTACTTGCACTAACTGGACATGGGGTTGCAGCCGCAGTTTCTGTGCAACTCTGCTAATTGTTAAGCTTACTGCAAGGTCACAGACTAGTCCAGATCTCAAACAGTTTCTGAACTCTACTGGCAAGGTGAATTCCAATAACTAACAATGACAATCAGTTTCTTTTCTGCAGTTCTTGTGTTAAGAGAACTGGAACAGATAGTGTCTCTGAGAGTGTGTCTACACTATGAACCTGAACATAGTTTTTATTTATTTATTCGTTTTATACCCCGCTCTCCCCACAGCTTTTTTTGTAAGTAATGTTCTTTAGCAGAACTACAATTCCCAGAATGTCATGGGGTACAGCACTGTCCATTCAACATGTTTTAAGGCTGTGTTTTAGTCCTGGGCCTAGTTCTCGGAAACAACAGATGATGTAGTGAATCTGTGTCTGGACTGTACCACTTCAGAGCAAGCTCCCGTGATAGATTGCACCTTCAGCAATTTAACCCACTCCCCCAAAATCCCTCACACATATATAACTATGTTGGAGGGGAAGGGTGCTAGCCTAGCCTTTTCCCTGATATGCTATTTTCTGGGTTTTTTAAATTCTGCTTTTGGAGGGAGAGGGGAGGCATCCAGTTTCACTGACCTATCAGAGCCATGGTCCTCCCCAGCCAACCATTCACAGGGATCCCCAAATTCCAACTCCAGAGAGCCCAAGGGAGCTGCTTCAGCCCTCCTCTCATAGTCCCCAGGAGTCCTGGCTTCCCACTCTTCTCTCTGTCCACAAATCTTCTATGTTCAGGAAACATACTCTCAGGGGTCATTTCGTAGAAAAAGAGGTGCAGGAGCTCATTAGCATAACTTATTTGCATATTCCACGCCCCCTGACATCACCGGAAGTGTGTCAGAAGGCAACACCCACCGCTCAGGCTCCACTGGACTGTTTTGGATTGCTAGCTACTGGGGGGGGGGTGGCGTGCAGATCTGTCTTAAAGGTGCCACTGGACTGTTTTGGGCCGGGGGGTTTCTGCAACTTACCTGGCTGCTTCTTGCTCTGACTGAGGGCTGCTGGGAGCAGGGGGTGGGGCTTGTTGTGTTCCCGCCCCCTGGGCTCTTTACTGCCGGAGCTCCGCTCCTGTGCGCTCCTTCAGGAAGTGACCTCTGCATACTCTCATCTGCATTCTGAAATGGGGAACAGCCTAAATCTATGTTTAAGCTTCAGCTTTATGTTTTTAAGAGAGCTAGGCATAATGCCCTGACCTGGATGGCCCAGGGTAACCCAGTCTCATCAGATCTCGGAAAATAACTAGGGTCAGCTCTGGTTAGTATTGGGATGGAAGACCACCAAGGAAGTTCAGGGTTGCTACACAGAGGCAAGCAATGGCAAACCACCTCTGAACGTCTCTTCCCATGGAAACCCTATGGGGTCGCCATCAGTGGGCTGCAACTTGATGGCCAAAAGGGGAGGGGGAGGGCATCGTGATGCAGGTATTGTGTTCTTGAACCCTCTCAGGTCCCCCTCAAGGATCCTCTTCAATCTGAGCCATCTCAGAAACTTCAGTGCCTGCTGAGCCAGTGGCGGGAGAAAGTCTTTTCTCTCTTGGTGCAGCTGAAATCTCAGGAGCTTTGCCACGTGGACACCACTAGCCTGCTGCAGAGAAAGGTATGTGCTCGGGTAGAGGGCTGGAGCACTAAAGACACAGTGAAAGCCCCAAACTCTTGGGTCTCATGAACATAGAGCAGAAGCTGATATGGAAAGAGGGAGGAACAAGGTAACGTTCTCATAAGCTCCTAGCAGTGTGGCCTGGAAGCCCTTCAAGGAGCTAAAGTAAGCCTTGTGAGATGGGGTTGGAGAATGTCATCCCCTCATTGCACATCCAGAAATTCTCTACCATAAATGTGATGGTAGACTAAGAAGAGGCACTTCACAGCTGCCGCTTAAAATGGGCTTTTGCAGTGGAATAAAGTCTTTCTCTTATGTGATCGTTGGCTCTAAAAACCAGGCCAGACCACTGGAAAGTGTGTTTAGGATCCGTCTCATTTAGGAAATGATGTTGACGATCGTTTTCTCCTTTCTTTTACAGACTCTTAATTCAGAAGTGTCACACTCTAAAGAACTGGCACAGAAACTCCATCAGAGGGTAGAGGCTGGTGAAAATGCCCTCCGGGGACTGGTGGAGTTGGTCAGCAGGTAACAAGGAAGGACAAAGCAAGAAGGGTGGGACCCACAGAATCACCTCTTCATTCCATCACTCAGTAATCATCATTATGTGGGTCATGTTGCTTTTGGTCATGATATTCTGGTGCATGGAACAGCTTCCCCCCTTTAAAGCTACTGAGGACTAGTTTTCCGCCCCCCAAAAGAGTCAGCATGGTATAGTGCAGGGGTGGCCAAACTTGTTTAACATAACAGCCACACAGAATAAATGTTAGATGTTTGAGAGCCGCAAAACATGAACAAATATCACACACATTTTTAGTGAAAAATATGCAAATTTGCTTTTTATTAACATTAAATTAGACAGTGTGAAACAGCCACATGTGGCTCCCAAGCTGCAGTTTGGCCACCCCTGTATAGTGGTTAGAGCAGCGGTCTAGGATTAGGGAGACTGAGGTTCAAATCCTCACTCTGTTTGGTGTAGTGGTTAAGTGCACTGACTTTAATCTGGGAGAACTGGGTTTGATTCCCCACTTGCGGCTGCTGGATGACCTTGGGCAAGCTGTAGTTCTTGTCAGAGCTGTTCTCGAAAGAGCAGTTCTCGAAAGAGCTCTCAGCCCCACCTACCTCACAGGGTGTCTGTTATCGAAAGGGAAAGGAGTTTGTAAGCCGCTCTGAGACTCCGAGTGAAAGGCAAGGTATAAATCCAGTCTCTTCTCTTCTTCTTCACAGAAGCTTGCTGGGTATGACCTTGGGCCAGTCCCACACACATAGCCTAACCTACTATCAAGGAGTCCCCAGACCTGATCTCTGTGGGTTCCCAGGGCTAGTACACACAAGAAAGCAGTCCTTTGTAAAAATATATGAAGTTTATTAAATACTTTCAAAATAGTTTCGTTTCTACATAACGTTCTAAAATCTTGCAGCAGAAGAAAGCAAAAAAGCTAACTTTACTTCCTAACACATTTATACCTTGCATTAGATGGCACAATCTTAGAGCCCCAAAAAGTCAGAAGCCGTGGCTCAGGTGTTCTCTACGTAGCTTTCCATTGCAATGCAAGCATTTTATAGTCCAGACCTCAATCCAACCAGAATCACCAAGTTAGCCTTCTTCTCTCAGTTATAGTCTTGAGCCAACTGGTGCCAGGCAATCTAATCAGGACATGTTCTTGCTAGAACCCTCTAGAAAGTTACGTCATCGCTCCTGCTTCCCCCCTCCCATCCTGTGGGCCACAGGTTCTCAAGAAGAGCTAATTATCAGATTCCTAACTCTGGCCTTGAAGATGATAGGGGTCGGGTAGGCAGAGAGGCCCAATTACTAACACCTGCAAGATGGAGTAAGCGCATTAGTATTCATATTAACCCTTTGGAGGAATCGGGGGTGCTTTGCCTCACACCTACCTCTCAGGTTTATTGTGGGTATAAAGAGAAGTACATAAGCTATTTTGGGTCCCTATTGGGGAAGAAGATGGGGTATAAGTAAAATAAATATTTCTTTTCTCACAGATCACTTTAGTGTCAGTTTATCGGTTTGGCGCTGCCATCTAAGAACATAAGAGAACATAAGAGACGCCAATGTTGGATCAGGCCAAAGGCCCATCCAGTCCAACACTCTGTGTCACACAGTGGCCAGAAATACCAGTGCCATCTGGAGGTCCACCAGTGGGGCCAGGACATTAGAAGCCCTCCCACTGTTGACCCCCCCCCCCCAAGCACCAAGAAGACAGAGCATCACTTGCCCCAGAGCCCCTAGCTATACCTTGTGGCTAATATCCACTGATGGACCTCTGCTCCATATGCTTATCTAATTCCCTTTTGAAGCTGTCCATGCTTGTAGCCGCCACCACTTCCTGCTTCCTTCCTCAGTAGTGTTTATCAATCCCCCATTACCACCTTCATCACCTGCCTCAGAATAGAACTGGTCCTGTGCTTGAATTCAGTACCAAGCAAAGTGATGGTGTTAATTTAAGGTTTACATAGGGGCTTCATCAATAATTTTTTTTGTTCCCCTCCCCCCTGAAAATTGTCCCTTCTACTTCAGTACATTCATTGTAATAATCACACCTGTGATCCACTGCCAGTGTTTTGCTTTCTGGAATATATTCCAGGCAGTGAAATGCCAGGACAGAGGAGAAGCTTTGGAAGAAGATTCATTGTCAAAATTCCACAATCTGGTGTCAGTCTTCCTCACAATTAGAGGCAGGCAGACTTACAAGTGTTGTCTTGAAGCTTGTGGGTAGGGTTCCCAAGTACTTACCTTGATCCGGCGGGGGAAACATGCTCCCCGGACGGACCATTCCTCCCTGTAACGCACCATGCCGTCACCAAGAAGTGACGCTGGGCGATGCTCTGGCATTGGGGCTGAAAACTCGATTGTACCATCGAGTTTCCAGCCCCATTGCCAGAGCGTCGCCCGGAGTCACTTCCTGGCAATGGCATGGTGCAGCGTGTCTGTTGTCCCTGTGGGAACGATCCTACAAAGATGTCTGTGTCCCCCACTGAATCACAATAAGTACTTGGGAAGCCTGTTGTGGGGTGATTCCTAAATGGCAAACTGGGGGCCATTTTGGCCTGCTATTTGTGACTTTTGGACCCTGAAAATGATGAAATTATGTTAAGAGATTGGTGGTGGGGATCTTGTAAGGCTCTGGGGCCTAATGTTTGAAATCCCAGTTCATTTTGATCTTCATGTTCCCTATTTTTTATGTAGCCGTTTTCTTGATTGTCCTTCACATCAAAGCTGTTCGTTCTTACATTATAACACCCCAGTTGAGACACTGTCTTTGACTCCACAGGCTACACCAACAACTGATGGACCAGGAGGAGGCCTGGAAAGCAGCCTTGTCGCGCCTGCTGGGACTGGGAAACAGAATCTCCTTTGCAGCCAAGAGAGTTGACACCATCCAAGGTGATGGGATCACGGACCCTTTATATGCCTTCTCCAAGCCGCAGGACTCTATGGCCAGTGAACGCCGAAGGCATTTAAAGGGTTCACAGTCCCTTTAAACACCTTCTGGGTGAACTTGCTGCTTGGAGAAGGTATTTAAAGGGACTGCGAGCCCTTTAAATGCCCTTTAAGTTCAACTATCCGGCGGCCCCAAAAATCTCAAATATTTTTTGGGCTTGGCTATTTCTGGTAGTCAAGCAGTACTGAAAACTATATCCTCCTAAACCAATATCTGAAAAATACCGATAAGGTATTTTGCGGATATTTTTTCGGCTCAGATTTAGCCAAACTGCACAGCCTTAGTCACCAGTTAAAATAATTTCTGCAGCATTAGTAGTAACTTGGCTCTTAGTACAGTGTTTTGTTCTCTGGGTGTGAATGTATGCGGACGTTGCCTGCTGAAGGTTGTAATGTCCAGGGACCCTAGCTTTCTTTTATTTTTATTTTTTAATTACATATAGAATTTTACAGCTATGCTACAAGTTTAGTAAATTCAGACATTTGAAAACAACTTGGTCCACTTTACATCTCCAAAGAAGTATTGAGTTTGACGACAGTTAAAAACAAGTTCCTTTTCAAGACCACTAGACACGTCTTGATTAACATCAAAATGTTCTCTCCAGCATACCAGGCATTCTTCAGACAGACCCCACCTCTCAGAGAGCGTATCTTTATCTCAAATTATATGTCCAAAACTGTCTGTGTTTACTCAAAAGTGAAGTCTGTGAGGCTCATTTCTAAGTAAGCATACACAGGAATAATTTTTTTGTCTAATGGACTAACCTGCTGCTTGTAATCCTTTGCATACTTAGGAGACATCCGCATGAAACTGAGTGGGGCTCAGAGTAAACATGGAGTGCATTGAGGTGTTAAAGCACTTCAAAACTGTTACTCTCTCCCCTGGACACTCTAATCCCATGAAGAGTCCTAGGAATCTACCAGATCCTTTAGCAAACCACAGTGCCCAGAAATCTTCTGGGGAAGCCACGTTATTTGTTATTTATTTATGTTATTTCTGGTCCGCCTTAAGGTGGCGTACACAAAGTAAGTCAGTGCAGTTGGTAAAATAATACAACCGATAAACAAAGTAATAGGACCCTAGGAATTTTAGTTTCATGGAGCTCTGATGGTTCTCTGTTACCATTCTGTTTTTAGAGCATGATCTTTTACTCTGTTCACAGAATTACAGAACCCTGAATGTCTTGGTTAGAAGTCCTGAAAGTTAAAAGTAGTTTGAAGCAGTGTTAAATGTGTAGCATATGCATGCTTTGGTATCTCTAAAGGCGGGGGAGATCTGATCTTTGGGCTAAATGAAGGGGCTGTTCTGCTGTGTAGGAAAAAGTGCATTTCTGTGGTCTCGGTTTAAATGGCTAACACAGTTTTTAGGGGGTTTTTTCCTTGTGTAGCTGTAAGGACTATAATTGTGTCTCTGGATTTTAACAAAATCAGACATTCATTACTCTTTGAGCTTGACATTGTTTGGTTTTGTGCTCTGCCACACAGCCACAGACATGCAGGTACCCAGAGCTGTGGCACACAGCATGTTTCTTCCAGTCTTGAGTTATGCTTGTGTTAAGAGAGTTAGTTGTATTCTTGCCATTAAGTAACTGAAAAACCTTTCTTGTAGGACTGGTATGCCGGAAAATAGCACTAGCTAAGCTTCAGCAAGGGGAGAAATCTGGCCCTACTAGATCGGACCAGGACAGGTAAGTTCTCTGAAACCCTTACCCCAGAGCAGGATGAAAGGCAGCACAGCTGAGAAGCTGTGACTGATACTTTCTCTTTAATGGGCATAATGCCTTGCATATGACTGATATATCTTCACAATGACAATGGGAGGTATAGATTATTGGGATTTCCATTTTGCATAGAGGAACTGAGATTCAAAGACAGCCAACTGCCCAAGGTCATCCAATGGCCTTGGGGGGGCATGGCTCAGTGGCAGAGCATCTGCTTGGCATCCCAGGTTCAATCCCAGGCATCTCCAATTAAAGCATGTGACGTGAAAATCCTCTGTGCCTGAGACACTGGAGAGCCCCTGCCAGTCTGAGTAGACTGACTTTGATGGACCAAGGGTGTGATTCAGTATAAGGCAGCTTCATGTGTTCAGGGACTCCATGGCTGAAATGGCATTGGAACTAGAGTCCAAATGCAACACTTGATTCTTTTGGCACCAATGGCTTCAGGTAAGACTATTCTTAGAACAGAATGTAGTGCTTAATGGGTTAGATCACAGCTGGGGATTAAAGTCTCTAGTTTCTTGAGGAAAGCATTTGGGTCTTGTGGGGTAGGGATGAGAAGTGGTATTCCTGGGATTTGGGGCGGAAAAGGGAGCAAAGTCTAGTCATCAAGGCAGGGTCCATCACTGTCTGGAAACTACCACCGAAAGAGCGTTTACAGGGTTGCTGCTGCTGGATTTCTGACCTCTCGTGGGGGCTTTTCCCTCAGGCTTCATCCACCTTACGAAGACCTGCAAGCTGAGTTACAGATGCTGCATGAGGAGAGGGACCGGCTCTCAATGGAGCTCAAACGGGGGGCGCAGCTTATAGAGAAGAAGGTGGCTGAAGTGCAAGACAAAGGTGACTAACCGAGGTCTCATTCATGCTGAGGTAAACTTGTGTCCAGGCCAAAGAGCTTCAAGCGGCAGGAGGGGAAAGGACATGACGGAATGTTATTCTGAGTGAAAATAGGATCTATACTTAGAAATCCGATATGTCAGAGAAAAGGAACCTAGGCCCACTTTGGCTTCTGTTTTTTTCAGGAGAAAAGTGAACTGAAAGTATGTAAATAGCATAGCCTAACTGACATGCCTGTTTTCTCTGTCCAGAGAAACATGCAGCTGTGCGAGTTCTTGCCTGTGGTCTGAAGTTGTACAGCCCAAATGCAGGCTTACCCCTTTTAATGAGACTGTCTCTAAGCCTCCTGCTCTGTCTGTCACCTAGAAGCCAGGTGTGGAAAGAGTCATCTGTACTTTGGGAGCCCAGGACAATTGTTTGTTAGGGAGAGGGGGAGAGGTACTCTTTTCTTTTTAAGCACTGTTTCTGTGTCTTTACTGGCCCCTTTCCATTCTACAGCAGAGTCTGACCTCAAGGAACTGAGGGAGACGGCCCAGTGCCTGCAGGGAGCTCTAGAGGGGAAGGTGACGATGGAGCAGGCACTGAGGCAACAGCTGGAGGCCACGGAGAGGCAGCGGGAGGAAGCGCACACGGACTTGCGGAAGGCCGAGGAGGCGGCAGAGAGCCTGAGGCAGGAGCTGGGGCATTTACGAGAGGAATACGAGAGAGGTGTGCATGTTCTGTCATTGAAAATGGTAGAACCGAGAGCATGCTGAGTTATTCTTTCCAGTTCAAAAAGAACTAACCAGGGTTAGGCATGAGAAAGTAAGTGGTTGAACAAATGTTGGTTCATCTTTTTTCTCCAGGGCTACAAGGGTGAAAAAGTTTCCGGTGAGTAGTCTGTAGTACTAGAAGAACACTTGAGCCAAGTAGCTCCTTGAAGTCCAACAACATTTTCCAGGATAAAAGCTTTTGGGAGCCAAAGCTGACTTTGGCAGATACAAAAGGGTGGAAAGGGCAACTGCCAGAGCCCTCATCCAATCTTTGTTTCAGCACTTATGAGAAAGGCTTATCAGTCTCATAGTCTGAATGCTTGTTTCTAGTGTGAGGTCTTAGCTTCGAATCCTGGATTGGTCCCTTTCTTTCCTGACCACGACGGGAGGAGACTGGCCTGGATTTCACAGGACTGTAATAAACAAAGTTATTGTCCTGACCAAACAAGGGACAGTGTGCAGCGAAGCAAGACAAACCTGGGTGGATGCTAGTTGCCATTTGATGTAAGGAGCTCAGTGCCTTCAGTGTATCCATGAAGATCCTTGGGTGGGCAGCTGCTTCAGTTTCCCCTCTGCCCTTCAGAGATGCCAGGGGACATTGGAGCTACTTGCAGGGGACTGGGTTTGGTAACTGCTGTGGACTCTTCTACCTCTTTTATTTACACTACAGATGTTCTGTCCTTTATATACTGGGTTTCAGTGACAGCTCTGCTGCCCGCCTCTTGTCTCGGACTTCATATTTTTAATGTTTCTGCACACCTGTGATTCAAAAATGGCCACTCCAACCTGTCGACACTCGAACAGGTTGGGACCCACTGAGTGAACCATGGCATGCCACAAATTTCCCCTCCGTTTCTGCAGTCTCTGGCAAAGGGGAAAATCAGGAGATTTCCTAAGCACATCGTGGGTCCTTTTTGACATTGTGGGACACAAATTGTGCCGACCTGATGTAGCTGTGTTTTAAAAGATAGGGATAGATGGCAATGAGACGAGATCAGCAAAATCCACCAAGAGTAGAGCACACTAGGAATAGCACCCCTGAGGGCCTGAAAAATTAGAGGTGAAGAAGCAGAAGTGTCACATGCTTGGGGGATTCCTGGAGGGTTTGTTGGTGGTGCCTGGGGAGGGCGTATAATGCTGCAGAACCCACCCACCTCTTCTCTCAGCCCTGCAGGAGAAGGTGACGGAAGTGGAAACGCAGCTGCACAAGGATCTGTCAGAAATGGAAAAAAAGCTCAATGAAGCACGGCGGGAGCACACGAAGGCAGGTAAGCGGCGGAAAGATGGTTCGAGAGAGTTTGTTACCCGAGGCTGGCGGTTTGTGTGGAACCCCTCTTCCCTGTGGTTAAAATGCAAGAAATAATGAGCTGGACTATGGCGTGCCACCGTTTGGAGCATCTGCCCCTCTCCACCCTCTGGGGGACGTGGCTCTGCGCTGAGGCACATGCTTCGTTTACAGATGATCTCCAGTTGAGCTCTGTCACTTCTGGCCGAAGGATCTCAGCTGGCAGGTCGTGGGGGGGGGGGAATTTGGAGGAAACTGACATATATGCAGTACATTCTTACGAATCCTACACTTTACTACTTCAGCAACGCAAAATGCATAATGCAAAATTTAGTTACCATATAGTTTTCTATTGTTGAGCATATTTATGGCATTTCAAAGTATAGATGCCTTACAGTGCCATCCTGTAACTACTTTCCTGGGAGTAAGCCCCATGGAATAATTGCAAATCTAACCAATACTAAAGATGGAGCTGCAAACTGTTGCACTCTGTGCTATCTTAGCTCAGGTATCTTTTTGCCATCTGAGAGGTAGGAAAAGAAAAAATAGAGAACACAAATTTTCTGTTAAACAAAACTATGATTTGGACAAAAGCAATCTCAGTGAAACTTTGTCACAAAACTCATTGATTGAGTACTAGCTTCATACAGATTATAGCATATGAATTGTGGATAAAATTAGTTTTCTTTAAATACACCTCTGAAAACGTTGTTCTTTTTCTACACCGTACACAGAAATTAATCATACGCTAATGCCGTAGATATAAAAATCTTCATACTACACATTTTGAGAGGCTAAAACCTTGTCTCAAAAAGCATTTTTATTTCCAGTGCACCTCCCCCCTTCCAAAAAAAAAATTATAGCTTTTGTGCTGGAGAATTTGCCGGGGGGGGGGGGGGATTTTCTTTTGGGGGAAAAAAAAAA